ATCACTTTATGCCCCATCAGAATAAGCCCGGCATTCGTACCGAGGTTGCCGGTTGTTCATATGAGCTTGCCGGTTGGTCACATGCACTTGCCGGGTGATCGTATGAGCTTGCCGTTCACGCCGATGTGCATGAAGTACCAAGCGAACGACAGATCACAGTATGTATTAAGAAGTAATGCTATACTCATCCATCCAGGATGAAGTTCTTTGAATTTAACAGGATACTGCTCTGCGAAGACGGGCACACGTAATTTTATAACAAATAAATTTTTGAAGTTACACGTGTCAGATAGGTTGGGTATAGACCACAGTGATTCCATCAAGCCGTCTGTACAGCGGTGCTTTGGTGGACGGCCTCACGCTTGCAATTCCGATTCGAGCATTGCTATCTTTAACTTCCCATACACCACCGACCAAAGCAGCCAGACGAAGTGCACATCCACAAGGTTCGCAGAAGGCTTCTCCCGGTGGATGACGAGGATGCTGTTCATCCGCACCTAGACGACGAGGGTTTGTGCATTCCCGAATCAATACATGGGAATCGTGGCTCGGTGATAGGATCTGAACTTGACTTGCCTTAGACCCAGGAACCAATATCCAGGGTGACGTTTGAAGTTCGGTAAGGAGCTAAGTGAGTACTAGTATTCTACCGCTGCGACATGCAAGTTCGGGGGGGCCTTCGATAGTGGGTAGGATATTCTTCTCGCAGCGAGTGAATGACGCCTTCCCCGAGTAGACTTCATCCGCAGGGTATTCTTTCCATTTCTTTCTTTCTTGCGGGCGGAGGAGCTTGAACTGTCTAATCAGAGACGGTACGCTGTTCGTGAGTGTGTGAGCCTTGATGGTCTTCGTGCCATAGTTTGAATGCCATCACTCGTGAACTTGATGGCACTGTTCGTGAGGTTGTTTCAATGTCACAACAGATTGGTGCTCAAGGATGAGTCCAAAAACTTGCCAACTAACACGATCACTTACAGTGCGGAAGGACAGGCGAGCGGCCCGGGGGTGACGGTACCCGCCGAGCGCTGACAGACATTCTCTGAGAGCTAGTCAGCGGCCGGCCGGACCGAAATCATGGGAATATGACGGTGTACTAATGAACTTAGAAAGCTAGAAACGGCATTACTCAGCACTTCAAAATTCAAATATTGTGGCTGTGCGAAGATCTTAAAAGGCATTTCAAATATTGTGGCTGTGCGAAGATCTTGAACTTGCTCCGAAAGAAGTGTACAAGCCCCCACGCGATGCCAGTGATTTGTCGGCAGCGCATCTCTCTCACCTGCTATCCTCATGACGAAGCAGACTGTGTTACTTATCGGTGCGACGGGCGAGACGGGCAGGTCAATCCTCGCGGCGGCCCCTAATCCTATTAACCGAAACCATCGGAATATGACGGTGTACTAATAAACTTAGAAAGCTAGAAACGGACATTACTCGCAGTATTAAAGCCCTCACGCGATGGTTGTTGGCAGCGCATCCCCTTGCATATTATCCTCATGACGAAGCAGACTGTACTACTCCTCGGTGCGACGGGCGAGACGGGCAGGTCAATCCTCGACGGCTTACTCGCAGACCCAAACTCCTTCGTGCGCCGCCGTGTTCTTTCTTGCACGCGGGGCTGACTGACTGGCATGCCACAGCACGTCGAGGCGCTGGTTCGACCGTCGTCGGCGGAGAAACCAGAGGTGAAAAGACTCGGAGAGCGCGGCGTGAAGATACGCGTCGCGGACATTGATGGCGCGCTCGACGACCTGGTCGCAGCGCTGGCGGGCGTCGACGTGCTGATCAGCGCCATCGATGCGACCAGGCAGCTGGCGCAGCTGCAGCTCGCGACGGCGGCGAAGCAGGCGGGCGTGCAGCGCTTTGTGCCCTGCGCGTTCATCACGATCGCGCCGCCGGGCGGCGTCATGGCGTTGCGCGACAGCGTGAGTCTGCCGCACATCGGCGCTTTCAGCTTGCTCACACGCTTCCTGTACAGAAAGAGCAGGTGTATCAGCACATCCGCAAGCTGTACCTCCCGTACACGATCATCGACGTGGGCTACTGGCACCAGATATCCATCCCGGCCCTCCCGTCCGGCCGCGGCGACTATGCAGCGCCAGTGAAGCCCACGGCCGACATCCACGCCGGGGGCACCGCGCCGACGATGCTCGGTGATCTGCGTGACATCGGGCGCTACGTCGCGCTCATCATCAAGGACGCGCGCACGCTGAACAAATACGTCGCCGCCTACAGCGACGTGCTCTCCGAGAATGAAATTTTCGCCCTTGTGGAGGAGATGTCGGGCGAGACGATCGCGCGGAACTACGTGCGTGTCCCTGTGTTCGCCCTATAAACGTTCACGCGCCCATTCGATGTATCGCTGTAGGTATCCGCGGACGACATCGTCGCTGCGCGCGCGCGGTTCGCCGCCCTCGTCGATTCCGAGCCGCAGAATATGTACGCGCGCACGATGGGCTTCATCACGGAATACAACTACAGCAAGTACGTCCGCGGCGACAACACGCCGGCGTACGCGGCGTACCTGGGCTACCTGGATGTGCAGGAGCTGTACCCCGACGTCCGGCCGCGGAGCTTCCGCGCGTTTGTTGCGGAGCTGCTGGACGGCAAGGCGGAGAAGCCATACAAGGTCCTGCCGCGGTTGTTGCAGTTCGTGTAGTGTGACTGTACTCCTATCGGTAACCCAGACGACTCCTTATCTTATCTGTACATCAGCGGAGCTTGAATAAACGATAACCAAAGATGACCGAGAACATTTGTAACCTCATTTTCGTTTATCAAGACTGACACACGAGTCAAGGCAGTCGCCCCTACTCAATCTCTGTTTCGGTTCGCGCGCACAGCAAGCCAGCAGCACTGTGGGAAGTCCGGCAACCAGCCTCGAGTAAAGCTCCGCACGAGTTGCTCAACCCGCGGATGTCGGCACGGGTACCCGCGCCCTGGCATCCGCGGGTTGGGCATCCGCAGATACGAGTACTCGTTTCCCACGGATGGGGCGAGTACAGGTCCGTGATTTTGCGACCACGGATATCCGTGGGCTGTATATACCTGCCCATTTTTTTCTTGTATTTTTCCGGACTCTATTTGACCTGCCAGCGACTTGCCGCATTGAAGATCAGTTTTCAATTGACGGAGCATCTGCCGCTTGATACTTACATCAGCCGGTCATTGCGCACAGCTGACTTGTTTCCAACGGCCACAAAGCACGCACAATGCATCCCTCAAGCTCAAGGTCAAAGCACAGTTCCGCCGCGTCAAAGCACACTTCCGCCGCATCGAAGCTCACTTACTGCTGTGGTATAAAAGTGGAACCCACCTCCCTGTGTAACCCCCCTTCCCGTCCACCATGCCCAAACGACCCACCGCTGGTTCCGACCTCGACGAGCCCGCATCCAAGAAGGGCAGGAAGCTCTCGCCGGCAGAGAAGGACACAGAACTCCTCGTCGGGAGGACCTCATTCCGGAAGCGGCCGTGATCGAGAAGCTCGGAACTCGGAACTCGCGCAAGAAGAAACAAGATGTGATTGAGCTGGATACAGAGGAGGAGGAGAAGGGGGAGGTGTCGGATGGAGATGACAATTACTTAGTACTACGACACCTCAATATATATTTAATTCCCTTTTTACTTGATCAATCCGTGAGTAACTCGCAGTATCCGCGAGTACCCGTACATCCGCGGGTTTGCCATCCGCGGATACCACCCGTGCGGATGGCGGATGGCACGAGTACAGGTCCCGGTTTTGGTGATGAAAAAACCCGCGAGTAGAGTACGGGTTAAAACCCGCGACACTCGTGCGGAGCTTTAGCCTCGAGTGCCTGCAAACACCTCATGCCTTGTGGAAGTCCAGGAGGGCGTGCTCCAGAGTTTCGACAGGATGGTCACTCCGGACCAGATATGGCACACAGTCAATAACCTGGATTTTTCGAGACCGGTCCGGGAATTCCTCTGGAAGTCTCTCCATGACGCACACCGAATTGGTTCCTACTGGAAGCACATCCCGGAATGTGGTGACCGTGAATACTGTGAAACATGTGGAGTTCCTGAGGACCTTGCCCATGTTCTACTCGAATGTACAGCACCCGGACAAAAAGAAGTCTGGGTAGCCACTGAGGAACTCTGGAGGAAAAAGGCTAGTCACTGGCCTGCACTGTCACTGGGGTCTTTACTGGGTTGCGGTCTAGCCCGCTTCCCTCAGGAAGCCGTACCTGCAGGATGTGAACGGTTATATCGCATACTGATCTCTGAATCCATGTTTGTTATTTGGAAGTTGCGGAACGAGAGGGTCATTGACCCCACCGTAACTGTACACTCACTCCCAGAAATCCTGAATAAGTGGAATGCAGCCATTAGTGGCCGATTTGAGATTGATCGAGTTCTCGCCAACAGGCCGAGGAAGGGTAAACAAGCATCTCTAAACCCTATCCGCGTTATCGATACGTGGTCCTCAGTCCTTGCCAGTGGAAGCAACCTGGGAGCTGACTGGTTGAAACGTGCAGGGGTTTTAGTGGGTAGTACGGAAATTGCATCCCGCGCTGCGGCAACGCGGCGTGGCGATGGCTAAGTTCCGGAGAGCCCCACACTGCCGTGAAGCGGCGTGCGACAACAGCATTTCCCCGGCCCGCGTGGTTTTCAGCCTCCTCTCCCTTCTCCCTGGGAAGTACCCTTCCCAACCTTTACACGGACGACGTAGGTGAACCGATAGTTCATTGTACCCGTACCGGTTACGTACCACCAAAAAAAAAAAAAAAAAAAAAAAAAAAAAAACACCTCATGCCTCAGTGGTAGGTACCAATACTTTCAGACAGTGAAGTTGCAGTGAAGTGCTTTTTCGTCCTACTGGAGGCTTTTTTACCGGTTTTGTGCGGCCACTGCCGGCCTTTTCGGACCTGAAGCTTGTGATGGCCTAGTGAAGGCTTCCAAAGCACTCATAGCAAATGACATACTGTTCAACTCTTGGCGGGCCAACACTTAAGTATGAGTACAGAGCAGACATGCAAGAGACACTGATGGTGAAGCGGTTATCATGCTTGCCTTCCATACTGTTTAGCATCAAGCTTTAGCAAGCGGCAGGGGTTCGACTCCCCTTCAGTGTATGATTTGGTCTTGTATGGCCCTAATTTTTTTCCTTTTTCTTTATTTTTCTTTTGCATTTTTGTCTCGTGCGGGACCTACAGTTCGAGCCTCTTCCAATGCACTCAACGCGAGGCCTTTCGGTGCCTCAAGCTGACGCCTGTCAAGAATTCGTGTTACATTTCTCATAGTACTACTTCATAGGCCTTATTGTAGTAGCACTGATTGATTATTCATATATATTTCATACTACTACTACATACAATGATGATACCTAGGCGGCGCACCTTGATCCCAACCAGCACCGTCACTGCTCCCGAGGCCATGTGCCGAAGTGGGTCTGAAACACAAGTCAGAAATGTACCCATCATCGACAACCGGCGGCTTACCATGTCGACGGTACGATGCCCGGGCGTCATGATGCGAAGGAATGAGAAACTCACCGGAAATTCAACCCGGTGTAGCATCGTCTCAGCCGCGGCCAGAGAGCTTGGTCGCTGCATGGTCCGCGGGCACAGCCTGGATTTATCGCGGGGGCCTGGGCTGCCTGGCGCACCAGGGGCTGGGACGCCATCTGAGCGGAGAAGACGGAGAGCAGTTAAAAGAAATAGGTTTCTGGCTGTGCATGAAGGCACAAGATTCTGGCGAGCGCGTCACCTGTGGCACGTCCAATCAGTGGTCTAGATGCGTGCGATGGGGCTAGGGCACCACTCACCTGCCCCCGTGCACTGGACTGGAGGTCGGCGCTGGGGTAGGCGCCGGGGTTCTGACGCGTCTTTGGCGCCGGGCGGGCACTGTTACCGAATACTGTTCCTCATGAAAGCAGTTAGCAGGCGCTAGTAGTCAATCATACCCCTATGCTCACTATGTCTCGTCGTGGTGCGGCCAGCTGCGTCGTCCATGGAGCGCGCGGCGCGCGCTGCCAGACGACGAGGAAGAGAAGTGACGAGTCACATGTCACTTTCCCATAATCACATGTCTTGTAAACAAAGTCATTTTGACGCGTTTTTGACGCGAATGTCGCGTTTCTGGCAAGTATTCCGCATTCTCAATATTAATGATGTTTTTTATCAGGTGTTCAAAGATACAATTTTAATTCTGCTGTGCTACAACAAGATCCATGTGCGGCAAACGAGCCGATCAAGAGTAAGACTGAATGATAATGCTGTTGTGATTTCCTGCTCGGGTGACGCTGGTACACACGGCTGTTAGGCCATTGGTTACAATCCACTGGGGCTTTAGGTACTGGAGCCCCAGCTTATATACTGTACAAAATATCTACTAGAATATTCTACCATGTTCAGACCCTCGGAGTACATCAGTCAGCCATTAGTAATCCCCTCGGGGACACTTCGGGCTCACTATTACAACACTCCCCCTTGAGCCTGCAAGTGTCCAAGAATAAACTAAACTAAAAATTGAAAACCCAGTTCTCCAGGACCCCGCTATGAACGAGCACTCAGCTTTTGCCAAAACATGGCCGCTCCCCCTGGAGCCGTTCCGTTCCATCAGCCCGGTGTGATCCTTGATGCCAATGCCCATCCGCGCCATTCCGTTGGCGCTGACAACCGACAGATTCTGAAACAACCTGCCAAATCCGATGGCATCCAACTTGCATCCACAAGAACTCCAGCAAGAGCCACCAGTGCTCTGCCATGCCTCTACAACCAACAGCGCACCGGTTACGTCTGCGGCGGCCGTCAATCCGCCCGACTGCTGTTGCCGAGGCAAACACGCCCAAACTGGGCATCATCGTATACGCTTCCGAGTTGATGTCAATCAAACTTGATGTCTGCGCCAGCCATCCCGCCATGCCGTTAATGATCTGCGTGGTTGCCCATCCAGGTTCCAAAATCCCACGCCGTCGACATGTTTTGTGTGCCGGCTCAAATTTCCGAAGCCGATGATCCGTCGAAATTTCCATCCCGACCCCTTGGCACTGCCCTCCATCGCCATAGCCCTCTGTCGTGCCGTTCCGGCTACTCAAGCCTCCAACAGGCTAACTGTGCTCTCCTGTCCCAGCCGATCCAAAGTTATTATGCCCCGCAAATCCGACGCGCTCCGTGACAGCCGAAAAGCCAGATTACAGTAATCCAATTGCTGTGGTACCGTGTCGTGGCTGCCGATAGCACCGCAAGAAAGAAGTCGAATATGGATAAGGATTTATGATGGGGAAGTCATCGGCAGATCAAGTGAAGAGCGCGGGAGAACAGATGTGCACCAAGCTAGTGGATTGTGTTGTGATTTCCTGCTCGGGTGACGCTGGTACACACGGCTGTTAGGCCATTGGTTACAATCCACTGGGGCTTTAGGTACTAGAGCCCCAGCTTATATACTGTACAAAATATCTACTAGAATATTCTACCATGTTCAGACCCTCGGAGTACATCAGTCAGCCATTAGTAATCCCCTCGGGGACACTTCGGGCTCACTATTACAACAAATGCGAGAGGATACGTCGATACGTAGAGAATGCAGCGAGGGCGGCAATTTTCACCCTCTGTTAACTTTATCCACCTGACATACATAGATCAGTAGTGCCAGTAGCTCTGATATATAAAATGAATATATTGGTTTACTGGGTGCCAGTGTGCGCGGATTGCCACGGCCTCGTCAGCACGTCCAGTCCAGGGCCAAGTGCTAGCCCGAGTTGCGCTTTCCTACGGCGCGCGTTAGCAATGGCGGGTGCCGTTCTCGGTGTATTCCTGTTCTCTCTCTGCGTGCTCGGCGTCTTCCTTTGGCGCTGGCGCACAGCTTGCATGGCGCGGACAGCGGCCGACGAAGCGGCGCAGACAGTGGCTGACGAGGAGACGCTGACAGCGGCCAACGAAGCAGCACTGGCACTCACGCCATGGTGGTGCCGCCCATGCGGACCCCGTCGAAGGCAACTTCAATGCGAAGCTCAATAATTGTACGCCTCGTTGGTGCGCCGTGACGTGGTGCCCGAGCTACCCCCTCCGTATGCGTCACCACCCGAGCCCTTACTCCCTATCGTGCGCGTCGGCGTATCTGTGGGCCCACGCTCGCGAGCGCGAGTGGGCTGCGTTGGCCTTTTCCGGATGGACTTTAAAATTACTTAACTACAGTATAACCCTTAGAAAATAATTTGAGCAAGTTTCACAAAACTTTCGGCCGGTCCCGCTGAGGAGCGCCGGGACCCAGGAGGTATCGAAATAAAGTGGGATCCGCGTTTTGCTAACCGAGTTTAATATAGCCGAATGTTCATCATTGACAGGTCTCGGCGGCGCTGGCTACAATGATTTATTAACGTCATGCCGGGAGGAGAGCATCTGAGAGCATGAGCTCATAGCTTGAGTGACGGAGATGTCAGACGTCGCTCCCAGTCCGACGAAAAGAGTCTAAGGGTCTTTCCTGAACTTAGACGAAACTTTTTTGACGGGAGGTTTTGAGTCACTGATGTTGACTACATTATGCATTTGATTATTATTTTTGTTTCAAATTTTCATCTAATACTCATGTTATGGGTGTAATCAACGAGCGCAAAGGGGAGGGGCGAGAAACGTCGGACATTTGCACGTTGTGGGATAATTAAAAAATTATGGGGCCTGGACAGCGACACGTAACTATAACATCTGCCTTCCGCCATACAATTGCCCAGCGACCGACTACTCGAGTATACCAACCGACCCGTGAGCACCCCCAGTTGTTGTTTCTCTTCTCCGAGTTGCTCTCCTTTTTCACATTATACAAAACGCTTATAAAGTTATACTACCATTGCTTCAATTTTGGCGGCTGTGGATACTTATATGAAAGCGACGCAAAATGGGCTTCAAATCCATCAGGTTACAATAATATTATGGACATTGTAGCAATAACGGCCACATGATTTAGTAAGGGGTTTTCGGCGGGCATTTGTGCGAGCAACTGTAAAATGCATTGAAAACGAGGCATTTAGCGTCAAGGATTTCGATTTACATTCCATTGTCGGGGCCAAGAACGCAGCATTTCAGCCCGGCGACACCTATATGAACGACCGTTAACGTGACCACATAGAAGAAGTCCATAAAAACGCACAAGGTTTCTGTTGAAGACAGAGCAACGAGTCGTCAGTGACATGAAAGTCCACATGGTTTTATTACACACGGAGCCAGCGATGGTTACACCTGGTAAGAGTCGGTTCAAAGATATTCTGAGAAAAGGGTGTGACACCATACATGCTCCACCCAGGGGAACCGGCTTGACGCATTCGGGCTCACAACTGCAGAAGCATTCAAAACGAAGGCGTTCAGCGTCAAGCAGCTGCAGGTCGACTCACATTCCATTGTCGGGGCCGAGAATGCAGCATGTCAACCCTGAGGCACCTTTATAAAAGACCGTCAACGTGACCACGTAGAAGAAGTCCGTAAAAACGTACAAGGCCTCTGTCGAAAACAGCAACGAGTCGTCAGAAATTTCATAACATCCACATGATTGCAATACGCACGGGGCCAGCGATGGTCTCACCTAATAAAAGTTGGTTCAACAGATATTCTGAAAAGAGGGTATGATGCCTACATAATCCACCCTGGGGAACCGGCTCAACGTCTTGGCATACTTACAGCGCCTTGCATGAGGGCAAGGAGGAAGATGGCTGAAACGGAAACAAATTTGAAGGCGTACATTGGATGTTGGGTGTCAGATACAGCTGAAGAGAGGCACCCTTTTATACACCAGGGGTACCCGCCCTGAAAATGGTGCCAGGCAATCTACTAGTACAAGAGGGGAAAATTTTCATTAGTTGACACCCATCCCTCCATTCTTGTGTTCCCCGGCGCGGAGGCCACGACTGAGCGATGTTTCTTGACGGGTATGCCAAGAGCACAAGTGTCGATGGAACACCTGCTGTTCAAGTTGGAATTTTCGATGTGATAAAGTCGGGAAATGCGAGGGAGCGCATAGAAAGTCGGGAGAATGCAGGACTCCTAAAGGCTTGGCAGAGAGGCAGCAGTTTCAAGTCGGGAGTCCGACATCCTTGGCGAATGCCGTGTCGAGGACTCGAGGTCCTGCTGTCAAGTAGGGCTGG